TGCATGCAAGTTAAAAACATAGTAAAGCTATGCTCACACAGACGATTTGACGCACGCATGGTGGACTTAAAAAAGTAATATTAGTTGATAAATTGAGGCAAGATGAGCTCTGCTACATCGCCAACAGATTGGGTTAACAAAGATCATTGTTCAGACGTTTTTTTTTTAAATAAATGACAGACAGGTTTATTACTCCATATACTGTATAATATAAAGCCGATTTAAATATGCCAACATAGCTGGGCGCTAAAATATCCTCAAGTTTGAAACAAAAATTATAACTGACGAAACAGTGAAATACAAAGAACCTGATTGTACCATTGGAACCTCCTTTGCCAGTAGCAAAATATGATAATTGTTTTTTTACCCTTTTATCTGGCAACAAAACTGACACCTTTTTTTACAAGGAGTCATGTTTGCATTGGCCACAATACCTGCGGTCAGAATGCAAACAAAAAAACATAACTCTGATAATGTATGCACTGTCCTTGAAATTGATTGGTCCACACCCGAGACAGCTTTCCTTTGAGCCCAGTCTCACATGGTGTTGGACCAGATGACGCCAAAAGGCGCACGTGCGCCAAAAAGGGTAAAAAAAAACAATTATCAACCTGATTGTAATTATATTTTATGATTGTGTGTTTAATGCATTTTTTGTTTTAGTTAGTTGTAAACATAATGAATTATAACATGTTTGTTGAAATCCTTGCAGTAAATGAACACCGTCATTCACGTTTTCTTCTAAACGATTATAATCAAGTCCTTGGATTGCTTTCAGTAATCGAGAAATAAACCACACTATGTTCTAAATGTAATAGCTCTGGGGTAAATATGATTACTGTTAAGCATAACATATTTACCTTAGCTGACATTTCTCAAATTTATTAACTTTGAGGTATAAGCCAGTCCATCTCACAGCATTAAGAAAATTGGATTAGAACTTGATAAATAAAACCCCACGCTAGATGTAAGAATGAATTAAACATACCTTGCCTAAAAAATATTCTATTCTTGGTTCTTTCGGTAAAGTCAGTAGAAGGGAAACAATACAAATAATAAAAATATAAAACAATAAATTCTCACGACGTTTCGACTGCAACACAAGCAATCATCATCAGGTGTGAACACCACAACAAGAAAATTGGACGTTAAAAAAACGCCACTTTTTTCAAATTTTCTTGTTGTGGTTTTCACACCTGATGATTGCTTGTGTTGCAGTCGAAACGTCGTGAGAATTTTATTGTTTTATATTTTTATTATTTTATTGTTTCCCTTCTACGTGACTTTACCGAAAGAACCAAGAATATGAATCCCTGCAGTAACGAAAGCTTTAAATCAAAATTAAAAAATGCCCTCTCGGCAGAAAATCATGTGGATAAGTGGGGATACTAAAATTAATAAATAATACTACCAATTGACCTAATCTCAAGACTTTGAAAACAAATCAACCGCTAGAATATTAAATCGCCATGATGATCTCTCTAATCGCAAAAGTGTTAATACTCTCACTCTGCCTTAGCCATATCCACTCATTGAACCGCCACAGTTATTATTGTTATTATTCCCCTAATTGAATAAAAAAACACCAACAGATCTCACTTGCAGAAACTGATATTTAAAAGCTCACTATAAATCTGATCCTTTTTAATATGGCCCAGCGGCTTCGCTTCGAGCGTGGGCACACCTCCCGTGCCAGCGCCTAACCGCACACAGAAGCGACGTGCCCCCCACCACCACCACCACCGTTGTTGCTGCTGCTGTAGTCGTGGGAGGGGGAGGGCAAGGCGGACCCGGCGTGCGCCGTCTGCCGCTATTGACTTTGGCGCGCCGAGAAAGGGCCGCTATTGTTCCAAGGCACGAACGCGAGCCCTCGCCGACGAGCGGTGTAACTTCACGGGACGGAAATTAAAATCGGCTACCAGGCCTAACCTGTTTTCCTCCGACGCCATGCCAATCCTAGCCACCAACCTCGCTCCTTCCCCCCCAAACCCCTACCGTCTCCACGCAATCCGCGCCACTCCCAATCCCCACCACTTTCTCGCTCACTCTCGAGCCTTTGCAATTCCACCGCACGCACTTCATTGCTGCTGCCCCTGTGACCCCAATGCGTGCACGCGAGCACACACTCCGCGCGTGCATACACCGCGGAGTGCGGAGACACGTAATGTGCATTAATACACACGCACACCATACCTACACATTTGAAAAAAAAACATATACCGCACACGTCAGACACAATATGCATGTGCACCACCGTACATTGCCATGATAAAGCCACTGCGAGATGAATGCTTTCCCAATCCATCATCAACGCTCATAGTACTGCAGTATAATGATGCACCGATCACCTGCACATCAGCTGATCTCATTCATTGTTCCACTGTTGTTATTCTCGACGACCAGACATCATCCCGTCTAGGGATGTGATCTTTCAAAGCCCACTTATTTTTTATTAAAAATCACTGTCTCAACTCTGTGTATGTTCTATAATCCACGTGTTGTTCTTACAGTCTCTGTGTAATTCTAAGCTTGCATCTCCCCGTAGTTGTCTGCACACTTTTCAGTTTTATTTGACAATGTCCACATCTCTGGTTCACATGCCATGGCAGGAAATAAACATTGATGAAAAATGTTCTACTTTAGGCACTTGCTTTTTAGTATTAAGTTCAGTTTTACAAAAAGCACTCCAACCTACCCTCGCCCAGCTCTATATCATCATCGCATTGACACTGAATGAAACACAAATATGCAAAGATCCCTGCTTTATAGCCATATCGACTGATGGTGAAAGCATTGTTCGCGAGTACCCACCAAGGCCAGAACAACACACGAGGGCATGGCCTTACCATCCCCATGTTCGGCCGCCTGCCTCCCCAATGCAGACATTTACACACCGCACCAGATACTCAATTAAGCCCCGCGGTCACCTTATAGTTGACCAGCGATAAATTCTGATACCACTCGCTACTGATGTTATAGCTGCGGCTGAGAATCAAACTTAGATGGCTGGGTCTTTAGCAGTGCGTGCAACCTCCATTCCCTATTAAACGACACACGCAAAACCCTTTCTGATTCCCCCAGCTGTCCCTTACTTTCACCTTCGCACATTCCCTCCCTCATTGCTATGGCTAACCATTTTGCTCTTTTTTTTACATGGCACTACCTAATTGGCATTGCGGCATTCAGGCTGAGGCCCGGAAATGGAAAATTAACAGAGACTCGTGTTTTCATTAGGGAAAGGTCTGCAGTTAGGCTAGTGTCATTAACACACAAGGAAAGCATTGCACTTTTTAAAGTTCTCCCTCCGGCTTTGAAAACAACAATTACTCCTCACGATGGGATGGTTAACCATGCACGTGCTATGAAAAATGACTGCTGTTTAATATAACGACATCGCTTCAAAATTGCTTGGTTAGAAATACATGAAAAATTGCACATCGTTCACTGCGTGCGCACAGAGAAAATGAAATGCATGTTACCCCCTAATGCTAAGGCAAGTAAATAGGCAACACAACAGGTTTTTGATTTAAAGCTTTCGTGACTGCAGGGATTCATATTCTTGGTTCTTTCGGTAAAGTCACAACGTAGAAGGGAAACAATAAAATAATAAAAATATAAAACAATACAATTCTCACGACGTTTCGACTTCAACACAAGCAAACATCATCAGGTGTGAAAACCACAACAATATGATGATTGCTTGTGTTGCAGTCGAAACGTCGTGAGAATGTTATTGTTTTATATATTTTTTTTATTTTATTGTTTCCCTTCTACGTGACTTTACCGAAAGAACCAAGAATACAACATGTTTTGATAGTCACACACAATTCCTAAGTCCATTACGATGCTAAATTCTCAATTTCTGAATTTCACGCACATATGTACAAGATGCATACAATTTCATACGACCATTACACATGTACCATTCATCACGAGGGTAATGAATACAAACAACCATGATTTATTCATGGGCTTTGCCGATAAGCACAGCTGACATGCAATGTCTCATTTACTGTGTAGTCCAGGTGATAAGAATAGGGGACATTACACGACTCTTTCAACATTGCAAGCAATCACAACAGTATTTGATACTCACCTCACTCGAGCATCTTTAATATGTAAAAAATTATATGGTAAATGTTAGTGAGAAATGTGAATAAGTAACAAGACAATGAGGTGATGCAAATTGTCAGTGTACTTCTTTCAATTCTGGAAATGAATACAATGAAAACTCATATACCCATTGGAATAATATGAAGAAAAAAACGACCCCTATAATATTTATGGTCAGTTCACTGAAATATTGCAATTTTGTTACTGTTTTGTCTAATATAAAAAATAACTATTACAGTAGAACGTCAGATGTACACAAGATTAAGAATACATTGCAGTATTAGAAAAGGTCAGATTTGTGAATATCTATAGAATATTTCAGTTAGACCATGCACAAACGCGGCACTGGGCAAGGGCGGTTAATTGGTCATATAGGTGCCGCTTTGTTCAGAGCGCTGTACTCGCAAACGGAAGGTTGTGGAGTCTGAATCGCGGTCAAAGGTTGACTCGCCACCCTCCCATTACCCTCCCAGGGTCGATTAAATGAATCTAACTCTGTGGAAAGTCCAAAGTGCTTGTCCTAAGGAGAGCCTTAGCTTTCTAAACAGGAATGTAGCTCAGGGCCATCAACAGAAATGATCGTCAACCTCACACACATTTCAGTAGGGAGACACGAACGTCGTCTGATATTTTCAAATAATTGTAACCATCTATCATGGGGGCATATGTAGACATACACACACAGAACACATAACGATGCACACACATGCAAGCTGTAAAAAACGCGTTAAAACATGAACAAGACAAATATAACAACACTCTGATAGAAATCGGCACAAGGGAGAAAAGACAATAACCCAGATCAAACTTAAAATGTGACAAAGGAGTGTATGTTTGAAGGGGCTGTGTGACTTTCACCGCACAAAGCATGGCACAAAACGCCTCACCTCTGACTTGGTCGACCTGTTGTCCTCCTCAAACTCCGAGTCATTGGGGTCCTCAACGGTGGGTGGTGGTGGTGGCGGCGGCGGCGGCGGCGGCGGCGGTGGTGGAGGTGCCGCCTTCTTCTTCTCGGGAGCAACGGCCTCCGCGTCGCCTCCCTTCGTCCTGCCGGCCGGTTTCCCCGATGCCTTGGCCTGCCGCCTCTCCACGGCCGTGGGAGACGCAGCCGCCGTCTGGGTCTTGGCTGACGAATCCGAAGTGCTCTTCTTCCTCTTCTTGGCCACAAGCTCCTCTTGCTCCACCACGGCCGAGCGCTTGGCCAAGCCAGATCTCGACTCGGACTGGTAGCCACCACTGCCGCCAATGGCGACGCTTCCAGCAGAAGCTGAGGCAGCGCTGCTGCTGCCGCCGCTGCCACTACTTGCGGCAGCACTGGACTTGTGTTCGCTGTGCAGAGGCTTGGGTTCCTTAAAGGCCATCGTCGGCGTGCCGCTGGCACCGCCGCCACCACGGGCGTCTTCCTTGGAGGGGCGTCCCACAACCTCTTTGGGCCTCTTGGGTGGCTCCTTGACAAATTTGCCTGGATCCCAGTGAGGCTCTTTGACGGAGCCCTTGTGCTCTTTCGAGTCCTTGGTTGGTTTTTCTCTGTGGTCCTTGGAATATTTGTGAGGCTTTTGCAAGCCTGTGCTGCTGCTGCAGCCACCCTTTGTAGGCTCCTGGAGATGGATGAATATTAACACAACTTTACACACTGCTAAAAAAATGCAATACAAAGTACGCAGTCACCTGATGTGCATAATTGCTACAGATTCCCAGCTCTATTGACAGTTTTGGGTCAATGTGATAGCTTGAACAGAGTTTGTAGAAAATGTAAATTCAGTATCGATATGTGCTGTTCCTACAATCCTGTGTCAACTGAGCTATTGGCATCCTTACAAGGAGCTTCACAGTTTTATATTCGGAACTAATTATAACATAAACACGTGTCATTGTGGAACTAGTGGAAATTTCATCGTAAATCTTACCCCTATTGTATACAACTATGGACTGTTCAGTTATGCAGACAACTGTGTGGGGTAATTAAAAGCCAAATATTACCAACTCTGGCATGTGTATCTGAGTATCAGGCACCCGCACCACCAAGTGAATTCATCCCCTCTCACTTTAAGAAATACTTAGTCAGAGGTTATGCATTTGAATGCCCCCTTGGATATATATTTGTTTTAAGGTCAGCAGAAAAAAGCTACCTAACCTGCCCCCACCCTCCCCCCCCCCCTCCGTGAATGTATGACCTGCACAAGGCACTGCCGGTCTGTGACGAGGAAAAGGAAACTGGGCGGATGAGCTCAATATAGTTTTCATAACCTTCCAGCCACCCAAACAGCCTCCCTTTTTTAAGGGAAGAGGTTAAGTATTTCCCAGCAGTTCATCATGCCTCTCTCTCTCTGACAGGGATTGCCCTGGCCGTAATTACCCATGCCTGTTCGCCGACGCAATTTCCTGCATGTTATCCCCCCCCCCACGCACAATACAAATACATTGTTTGTGTGTATGAATATATGTACTTGTACACAGTATTTAAATTAGTTATGTACAGCGCTTTACTTTAATAAGGTGAGAGCCCAGAGATTCATTATCTCTGGCAAGACAGACGGTGTAATTGTATTCCTGTAGAAATCGTTTTTTTGGCTAATTTTATCTGCAGGCAATATTCAAATGTGTAATTTAGATTTTGAAACACTGATTATATGTTTATCTATGTAATGCTTAAGTTGTAAGAAAAATAGACTTTATTGTGTGCATTTGGCATTTCATCAGTGTGGTCTTCTTGAAGAATTATCTAGTCGAAGGTTAAGAGTTCAGGGGTCAACTGAGCCCATCATCCTCCAGAGTCAATGAAATGAGCATTGATTTGTTCAGGTTCGATTAAATGGGTATCACTTCATGAAAAGTCAACTGGTTGCCCTATGAAGAAACTATGCTGCTAAAAAACCGAGATGTGCACTCCCATGAAGCTTGTTCGATCATGGAGAAACTTACATCAAATATGGATAAGACACAATTAACAGAAGTAATACATTTATGTAAGGAATTAATACATATACTGTACAAAATAAGAAGCATTAATTTCTAGGAAAGCATCAGTTAAAATGTGACTATTTGTTCAGGAGTGCCAAGTTTGGGATGTTAGGCCAATTCCATGTTCAGTATTTTTACTCATAAGAGGAACCTGGATTTGCTGAAAAAAAAATCACACGGGAAAAAACACAATTCCTCAATAAAGTATTCAGACATTGATTACAGGACAACATATTTTAGATACCTTTCATTTTACAAAGGCTCAACTCTAAATTGAGTTTTCTGATTAAGCATAAATATACTTTCCAAAAGGTAGGCACGCAAAAATGTGTTTGAGCAATTGCACAATTCAAGCATTGTGAAGCATAATTTTAATTGATAGTTACAACCACAATTCATCTATTTACAATAATCCTACCGCAACAGGAGAGAAATGAAGCAAGTTGTTCCTCCATCTGTCTGCTTGTGGCCACAATGACCTCTTAAACCATTTATCCAATCCCTGATGAAATTTTCTGGGATGGTCTGCGACCCCAATGTTTCATACAGAATTGATTTTCAGTTTATAAGGTCAAAAAATCAAAGTCGCAGCATTTAGAAGACCTGCCATTCTTGTACATCTGTCTATGCTTACAACAACACTGGAGTTATTTGACCAATTTCAATGACATTTTCAAGGATGGTCCACAATCACAGAACTTTGACTAGAATTGCTTTTCATGTAACCAAGAAGGTCAAAAGGTAAATGTCACAACACTGAAACCAACAACTGTCATGAATAGAAGTGTTTACCCATGGGAGTGTTATGTTTTCAAAAGGTATTTCACCTTCTTCAAAACGCTGTAATACACTCATGCTGAATAACAAAATTTCCCAATTAGCGTGCTGTAACTACAAATATAGCTGAGGGTCTATTTGCACTTGTGCATAACTATGAAATTTTACATTCAATAATTTCTACATAAATCTTTACTTAAAGCTTTCGTGACTGCAGGAATTAATATTATTTGGGTCTTTCGGTAAAGTCACGTAGATATGTTCAAAGAAAATAACAAAAAAATAACAAAAAACTACGACGTTTCGATCGCAACACAAGCGTTCGTCATCAGGAAAAAAAAAGAGCTTCCTGATGACAAACGCTTGTGTTGCGATCAAAACGTCGTAGTTTTTTGTTATTTTCTTTGAACCTATCTACGTGACTTTACCGGAAGACCCACAGAACATAATTTCTACATACTTAATAAATGACAAACTGTACTTGAGGAAAATATGCTTGTTTAAAGTGCCACAAAAATTAAGTGAATACTGGTCATTCTAAACCAAAGCAATATTCCGGCAATTAAGGCATTCATTTGATATAACATTAAAATACAATGGCCCAGCACACAAAAGGTCTATGCGCGACCCCTTCTGCTGAAGGAGGTCACCTCGGCTAGACTGTGGGGTCAGACATGGGGTCAGCAGACAGCTGAGTGGCCCCCGGGTGTTGATACAATCCAAGAGGTTTAAATAGGGGAGGCCCGACAAACACTGGAGGGTCAGGGGCCAGATTCCATCCTTCACAGACACGATGGGGCTTAAGTAACTTCACATCAGGAAACATTACTCTCAGCAAGGCGCGCGCCCGCACACACACGCACAAACACACAAAGACAAAGATACCACGTTTTGCCTTAAATGCTATTAGTGAGCAGCTATTAGGACGTGCAAGGAACAGGAGGGGGTGGTGTGGTTAACACGGCTAACCACCTTTGTCTTCGCAGTGCTAGTTTATAATACAGTGATATAATAAAGCATCTCAAGAGTTCATGTAAAATGTGATGTTTATGGAAACCTTCTGCCACACTTATGTTTAAATAAAATATTTAAATTGGTGTGTTTGCAGCACATTCGTCCAAATATAATAATATAAACTGGGTTAAAGGATAAATGTGTTTTAATCATAAAAGGAACATTACATCATTGTATTAACACCAAACTAATATTTAAGTGGCCACCGTTATTTTAATAACACATATAGGTCACATGATTTCACAGCACATCTACATTCACTCTTATACATGAACAAAGGCAAAGATCCCCCGTATAGCCTAAACAGACTGTTGAGGCAAGTGCTGTTAGCGAGCACCTATTAAGGTGGGAACGGCACACAAGGGGGTGGATGGCTAAAACCACGCTCGGCCGCCTTTGTCTCCGCCTAGGTGATGCTTACACGCCACAGCGGGTACTAACTTTAGGCTGAGTCTTCCTAGGGAAGGCCCAGGACCGGTTCAGATCATTGTAACTGGTGTTGGCCGTGAGCAGGAATTGAACTCGGGTCACCAGGTCCATAGCGCAGCATGCTAACCGCTACACCACTGGTCCCCACTTTTATACAGATCAACAGACTTACGCAAGCACACGCAAATGCAGCCGCCCCTCTCCTCCACTTCCAAAACACCTCGCACCTAGGTCGCCATCAGTCACTCCTACCAAGCGACACAAGTCATGCGGCCCCAGGGCAGCCTGGTTCAATCACACACAGCGTCGGGACGCCTGGCGCTCACTCGAAGCTCACCTTTGCCCCGTGGGGTGGCTTGCTGCGCTTGTGATCGGCCATGGCTGCAGGGTTGGCGGAGGAGGGTGGAGGCGGTACTCCCGCAGCAGACAGAGCAGCATGGGCTGGGTGCTGGCCCACATAAGGCCCGGCGCCCGGGCCAGGTGCTGCGGCAGGACCTGGCCCATCCGGCAACACCATCATCTGATAGTGCCCGTGACAAAAACACAACAAATGCAAACAAATGACCGCTGTGGCACAGGCACGAGAAAGTACACGAGCAACTAATAATTTGGATGTTTAGAAAACATTTTAAAACAAGGCATCTGTTTCCTAGCTGGGATAAAAATATCGTTGAATTCCAATAAGCAATGGGCCATTCCAAATGATTGTTTTCCAATAGCACTTGCTTAAACAATGGACCGGTTTCAACTTCTCTGAGTCTCATCAGCAGGGTGTTCCCCATTAATCAATTGCTAATGGATTTGCTGATGTTAAAGGCAATATACCCAACCACAAACACTGTAGGGCCCTCAAGTCACACAGTAGAGAACTTTTTACATATTTTGGTGGGCAGCATTCCAGAAGATAGCGTGGAAATGTTAGCAATAGCAAATAGTCTCCTCTTTGATAATTATAAACAAATTAATGATAATTAATTTGCTTATTTCTCCTGTGGGTTTTAAGTAATTTTGTTTTGACAAAAAAGTCTATTATCATTATCCACCACTTCCGGATGAAAGCCTCCCCCATACTGTTGACATCCACAAAACGCGCGAGCGATATAACAAGCTCGGTCTCACTTCTACACACTCCATCCCGACGGCAGTCGTGCTCTTCGTGCATTCTCTCCTTTGGCTGCAATTCCGTAACCAGTCTCATCGACGCCTGACCCTCGATCTGCAGAGGCGCTCCCTACACAGATTCCCAGCTGGATGGTGTTTTTTGTTACAACGAAAAATTCGGAAAGCACAAGGTGCAGTTCGCAGCTCCACAGGTTGAGGAGCGGGGGGGGGTTGTGATGACGGTGGGGAGGTGCACGCACTGCCCTGTCCTAGACTCCGCACGACTCATGCTTCCCTCTCTCTCTCTGCACCTGGATTCCATGCGGTCACGCGCCAATTGGCCGTCGATGGGAACAGTGGAGCGCAGAGGGGCTGTCCCCGCTTCTCACTCCTTTATCTGGAAAACTTCTCGGTTTTGCGAAAAATTCCAGCTCAACAAGTTGTGTAGTCCAAGTCTACCCTAGCCAGTTGTATTATTTTTTTGGGGCTTTTTTTTTAAAACCATATTTAAGTGAGATGAATACACAAAAATAAACGGAAATATTTTCGAGACAAAGGTGGGAGAAGCGAGGCAGCCCTCCGCAGTCAGTCCATTATCGAGAACGGGAGTACGTGGCATTGTCTTAATGCTTCTAAACTACCAACCTGTATTGGTGAGCACCGTACTTATGTATAGTTTTATGTTGCATAATTATGCAGTATTCCATTCCTTGTTCCAGTTTTGTATGTACATGAGTAAGATAGAGGAGTGGTGACGTCAACCTCCACTTTGTGGTGACCAGCGGTTTTTGTTGTTTGGAGCGAAAAAGCTGGATATGGGGATGGGTCTGAATGGGTCTGGAACATAACCCCCCTTGTACTCTGGAAAACTGGGTTAATTCTGCACAGATTCGCTCAGCATGGCATTTTATCAGAGTGCACTGCCCCCCCCCCCATGCAGAGGGAGGGGGTCAGGTGTATTGGTCATCTTTCCCTACAGTGACGTGCCCTGTCCATGCTCATTTTTCAAAACAGTCAATATTGTATTTCTGCCATTGTCATGCCACACATGCACATCTCCTTGCTTCTTTGTACACCCTTCACTAGTTTTCAAATATCTTGCCAGTATCCTGATCGATAAGTCAGCGGGTGATAAACACAATTCACTGAGTGCAGTAAACATAATGTGTGAACACCCACACTGCTTATCGCAAGAGTACGGAACTCCCTGTTTAAGCCATGAATAGACTATGCCCTGTGTATAATAATGAGGAATCCTATGTTGTCCTGCAAGAGGAAATTCCTGCACAGATCAGCATAAACGAACTTCCTATCTATCCCCAGATTCAGTAAGATCATATTTGCTCTCCAAGAAACTCACCTTGCTTATCGCATGAAAAAAGGAACTCGCCACTTAATCTAACATGAAGCACCGCTTCGCAGGCAAGGACCTGCCCTCTTTAGATTCTTAATTGTATTTCCTTGGCTAAAGTAAACCTCCCACTATCGAGCCCAAGTAACTGTCTCTCTCAACCCTTGCCTAATCTGCTCACAACGATAACATCACCGAGTTCAGCGGAGGAATCCAGCTGGAGAAAACCCAATGGCGGGGAGGTACGGGGGGGTTCAGTGCCATCGGCGGATCTGCCCACAGTTCAGCTCCCTACACCGGTCATCTCCCACGTCGCTCGAGCCCTGCGTAACTGCCCAACGCCACGTCGCATCCCCACAACTTCCTCTGCCTGCCTGCCTGCCAGCCCCAGCCGGCGGTGCGTGGCGCCCGCTCGTGTGTTGCCCACCCCGCCGGCCTTCAGTAGCTTGCGGCGGAACTCCTCGGTGGGGTTGCTGAAGGTGAGCTTCTCGCAGCGGATGTGGTTGACAGGTGGGTGGCCCTCCAGGTTCAGGAACAGGTCGTACTCAAAGCACACCTTTTTAGGCTCCTCCTGCGAACCACCACCACCACCATCGGCATTATTACTTTGGTAAGTACGTATGTTGAACTTCTTTCGCACCGTACGTAGCCAACCCTGCTTATCAGAGGTGCGGGTGAAGGACAACAATGTAAACTTTGGCGAACAACGACAACAAAATGCACACTTCCTCGTCATGTAAAATAAAGCTCTCGAGCGTCTGCATGCAATGTTTGTGGCTATTGAGCGAATGCTGCAGCCAACACTGCATTTGTCAAGGTCCACCACGAAATCAAAACATGTTACCTCAATAGCCTGCGACTTAGTTTGAACGAAGGAATAATTCAACATTTCCCTGGGTAAAGAATGTCCGCTATTTTCTGCATACTTGCTGTATTTTGCATGTTGTTTATTCATACAACAAAACAGTCCAGGGAAATGTGTGCAATGAAACATTCCAATGTGACTTTCCTGACCAACATTTAACTGGCTGCGTTATTAATTAATCTATTTTTCCATTATCCAAACATTAGTTTCTTTATGACCTTTGTATACACATCCATCTCTGGTTTTAAAGTAATGCAACTTCATGGCAAAATTACACATTTTGAATATACCTGAAAAAGGTAGGGCAAACTCAATATATGAATTGATCTTTGCAGCCCTTATTACTATTCAACTTGATTTCCTGCAACAAAGTTCACATGTTGACATCTATCTTTAAAATGTCTCCATGTGCTTCGCCACTGTTTTTCAGTACATTTCCAGGTACAATTCTTGTAGTTTTTATTTGAGTTTTTCTTTTTACATTTGTAATGTCATCTCACGACCCTTAATTCAAAGCAAAGCCTCGGTGTCACGATCTCCATCATTATCTTTACATTTAGCCACCCATGCCAGGAAAGACCTCTCAGATGGGTATTAACATCTGAACCAAAAACTTACATTTAATAACATAACAGGCATTTATTTTTGCTGGAACATGTAGATATGTGTCATTTTACAAAATAAAGGGACGATAAAACAAAACGGGGGGCGACTTCACAATCAACCTGAATGTGTCACACATGCAGAAGCCGACATTAATAAATGCTACGTGTAAAATGGTGCATCGCTTCAGATTAAATAAAATGTTTACTCTTTTAAAACATGTGTGGAATTGTGCAAGTGAGAATAGTTTTGTGATTGGGTTTGTGATTTTTTTTGAAACTATATGTGCATGTGCACACTTTATATCAACACAGTTCTGATATAAGCAACACATCCTTATATCACATTGGTGGAAGGTTCGGGCACACCTGATACAAGCACACTACTTTAGATACAAGGACACCGAGACTTGCTCCCAAGGGGTGCTATTATACCCAGCTGCTACCGCACTTCCGTTACATTTAGATTAATGGCGCAAACTAGGCTTCGAAAGAGAAAACAAAGACAAGAGAAGCAGCGAAAACAAGACCAAAAGGAAAATTTACTTCGGGGTGCGAATCGTGACGCCCGAATCGTTACAATTCACAGGGAATCGCTTGCGACGGGCGTGGGTGAATCAATGCATGCCTAAGGGGTGTGCGGCCAAGTGAGGTCAGCGAGTCGCACCTTGTTCTTGAAGTACACCTCGATGGGCATGGTGAAGCCGGCGTAGCCCGACTCCTCAACTTTGTAGGGCGGGTCCTTGCATACTGTGGGGGCGAGACACGCGCACACACGCACACGGGCTGTCATCACGACACACGAACACGCGGTCGTGTCACAACTGCTGATGCAATCGATTCTTGCAGCGCCGATCGCGCTGAGGATGGCAATGTAGGATGAACGCTAAACATGTCCACGCAGTGACACCCTCTGTGTCGCTTCGTATTAAACGTCATGCAGAACCAGACAGGTGCCTGCGAACTATGGGAACATTTCCTGCCAGGCTGCTTCATGCAGACGACTGGCAAACAGAGCGGTCATTCTGGATGAAACTAATTATTTAGTGACACTGCGTTGGCACAGGCAAAAATAACAAAAGGAAACATTTGTTATTAATAGTGCACTTTCAGATGCACTTCTGTGGCCGTCTGGAACGCTCTTCCTTACGATATTAGGAAGCTTCCCGGGCTATGCACTTTTAAATCTAACTTGAAAATGCATTTATTTTTATAACTCCTTGTGTTTCGTTTGTTGTCCTTCGCGCTAACCCTACACTACCGCTCCCCACCTACACACACACACACACAAGCACACACACCTAGGCACATATAAACAAACACACACTCAGGCACGCATATATACACACACACAGACAAACACGCACATGCACGCCCACAATACAAAGTTCCCCCGTATAGCCTTAACATAATGTTGGGCCAAGTGCTGTTAGCGAGCAGCACGGTTGGCTACGTACGGTGCGAAATAAGGTCAACATACCGAAACATACATGCCTGCATCGGTATTGAAATGTCATTGCTGCGGAATCTCCCAGGTCTAATTGCGCTTCAGAAGTATGCATTCCTTAAAAGTGTAAATTATCTCACGATTCCAATGCAATGCCAAATTGTGTTATGCTTATGCTATAAAAGAACGCAATATTCCCGTAATAATGGGCATACTTTGCGTGTGTATTTACGTTAATGCCCTTTTAATGGCCACAGCATTCCAATCATAACAGTGACAGGGTCGATTACAAGTATTTATATTTAATTACAACAATGCATTCTTTACATGTAATGGGTACTTTTCTATTAGAATAGGTTTTCATTGAGGTTACTAAAATAAATGTATCCTTAAATTATATGACTCCAACATTTACATATCATTAATAATGATAGACCTACTTTATATGGTTAATTTAAAATAATTCTTTACACGAATACATCACTGCAACATTTCTATAATTGGTGTAACGTATGGTGACGTTGATAATGACTACTGTGTCCTCACATTTTCCCTGCCATTCCCCAGTTAAACATTAATTCTGTGATGCCAACTTTTTTTATTCTTTATACTCAGCGGAACCTGGCGGCGACATTCCAACACTCGCCTTGCGCAATCTCACGTCGTGATTTTCCATCGCTCCTAGCGATACAGACACCACGAACCTGGCCACCCCCCCAGGGTTCGATTTACACTCACGCCCAAGGCCAACACCAGTGACGATTATCTGAACCGATTCTGGGCCTCCCCCTAGGCAGACTCAGCTTCAAATGAGTACCTGGTGCGGTGTGTAAACATCGCCACCAGGGAGACAAAGGCGCTGACCACCCACCCCCGATTGTGCAGTGGCAGTCTTCATAGGTGCTCGCTAACAGCTAACAGCTCGCTCACGCTAACAATACGTACACGTTGCCACCACCTGAGGGCACTTCACCCTAAACGTCTATGAGCCTCAAAGTGTTCCATTCAAGTCTAGGGATACACCTTTACAATTGTCCTACTTTAGAGGTTTATAAAATAAAGTAAGAATCTTGCACAGGATTATTACTCGGTCACAACACAGTGGCATAGGTAAACCACTGCCAGTGATTGACTAACCCTATCCGGTCAGTAAAATGACTACTACTTTGTGTAGTGGGAGACCAAAAGTAGTGATCCAACAGACAAACTGGTCTCTACTATATGAATGTGAACTTTAAGATTCACGTTTTGAAGTGTAACATTGGGATTCTAAATAATTGATGAAACTACACATATTCCTGGTTCTTTCGGTAAAGTCACGTAGAAGGGAAACAATAAAATAAAAAATATATATAAAACAAGAAAATTCTCACGACGTTTCGACTGCAACACAAGCAATCATCACACCTGATGATCATCACACCTGATGATGATTTATTATTTTATTGTTTCCCTTCTACGTGACTTTACCGAAAGAACCAAGAATATGAATCCCTGCAGTCACGAAAGCTTTAAATCGAAACTACACACATATCACTTATTTAATTTGGTTCATGCTGCATTACAAAAGGCATGGTGATTAAGTGTTAATGTACTGTGCAGTGCCACGGTACCATTGATCCGAGTCGAGTTTCCGAGGATTAAAAATCCAAGGATTCTTCACGCACTCCACATTTACAACAAACCTCTCTCAGGTCAACACAGCCCGAAATAAGCAATTCCGTTTGCAAGCAAAGAGAAACCCCCCCGAGGGGGTCTGTGTATTGTACAAGCTTTCCAGTCCAACTTGCACTGTGACAAAACACAAGTGAAAGTTAGTGAGCATTCACCGTTTTACGCTGGCAAGGGACGACAAACGCGGCGAGCGACGATCTGATTAGTGAACTTGAAGCCAATGCTGAATGTTTTCGCCCCTCTCAAAAGGCATGCCATAACACAGTTTTTACCTCTCACTGCTTATTTTACAAACTGCACGCAGGCCGCTTACATAAACTACTCAATTTTTAAGGACCTCCCGCCTTTCTCTGTGGAGTGAAAATAAGCTGCGGCCCACTGCCAGTTTGCACACCATAAATTATACTGCAAAACCATTACAAGATGATAGCCATAAGCAGGGCAATAAACGGGGGGGGGGGGGGGCGATTTGGTAACAACTCAATTGGGTGGCTGACAAATCCTAAAGCTTCCCGCACAGTACACACAATTTACAAATTATCTCAATATTTTGTTTTGTTCCATCAACTTGCGCTCTTGCTACGGGTGCAACATGTAATGTAAATAGGGCGGCGATCAGCAGCAGCAGCAACAACAACAACAAATCTTTCCGCCCGCATCGTGAAAAACAAATCTGACAAATCGTGACCTCTTGGTGCGCGGCAGCAGCGCGCCATCGCTAACGGAGAGGTTGTTACAGTGTAAAAAAAAAAAAGCTGGCAACGCGCCAACGTACCCAACTTTGTAACGGGTGGAATGCAGCCGCTTTTACAGCCCCGGCCACAACTGCCCCAGCCGCCCTCATTCTCAACCCCACTGTCGGTCTTTTCTACCGGCTCTGGTGATTCTTCAAACTGCGGCGCCGAACAAAAGAGGGCTGATGGCACACCGCAGAGGTGTCCCCGACGCTCAAGAGGAGGGGGCCAAAAAAAGAGCACAAGGCTGAGCAGCGGACACGGATAAAATAAGGCGCGTGTCGTGCTTAACTTAATTTGACGAAAGGCTGTTTGCTTTCAATGCGCCCAAACAGTCTATCCATGCAGTAGGTAATTCTGGGGGACGTGTGCAGTGTTTTGTATAATTTTCATTTTTGTGTTCCAACTTTCAGAATCGTTTTAAAATCTCAAGGAAAATCTGTCGGGAAGCAGACCAGTGCCGCGATTTGTTCCCATCGCTTCATTATTACCTGGCATTTAGTCGCTACTTCCAGTCAGTTTTCCCGTCACAAAAGCACAACTCGCACAGAGCTCAAGGGGAATAAATAACCCCAAAGTCGAGGAGGGGGGGGGGGGGGTAGGGAGGTTGAATTAAAATCTTTACAAGCACTCATTGTGATTAAGGGGTTTGATTTTAGGGGCAGAAAATAACACATCGTGAGATATCTTGTGTTTATTTAGGTTCCATTGAGTGCACGGTATGACAATGCTCAGAGCTTGTGCTCTCTTAACGTCTACAATCGCCAAAAACGTGAGAAGGCATTTGAGCCGTATGGGTGGCTCAGCGGAGCAATGCCGATGTCATTGGCAGCCGCAGGGCAGACAAGCACTAAAGAGCAGAAAGCGTGCCACTTCCTCCACTCTGACAAACAGCCCGTGCATGTCCAGTTGGCTGGCATTATCGGCCAAGGCACCAAATAATGAACCAGAGCAGAAGTAAAGGGACATGCAATTTCTGATAGCGCTGGCAATGCGAGTAGAAGCGGGTCAAAAGTAAGGCTTCTTCAAACTGTTCTGTTCGACGTTGGAGCGAGCAATCTGGTGGCTCTGTGACATAGCGCTTGGCTTGCAACGGAAGGTTGCGAGTTCACATTGTGATTCGGGGTAGACGAAGACCACCACTCTTCTGGTGACAACAGCTGTCATCCAATGGTAGGCTGGTCACCACAATAGGAATCTGGAAATTTCCACCATGGCTTAGGCCCACGATTGACAACACGGGTGACTATGGAGATGATCAATATTTTTTAAAATTGTAAAATATTCCAGAATACAGCATGATTTGAAAGAGGTCATTATGGTTTTGAGAACTCTACAAGACTAAAATTCTGCATTTAGTTGCGTATGCAACGACTGTTATTTAATGTCAGAGGAAAAGAATTCCCCCCAAAATAATAAATAATTAAGACATCAATGCCATGAATATCCTTTGTCGAGTCGTGTTAGTGTTTCCAAGAACGCTTCTCTCCTATGTCAATGGCTTTCATGGGTAACTGCGCGTTCTTTATCACTGGGGAGTTTGGTGGAGCTCACGAAATCTCGAAGCTCCAAAAGCCATTACTGCTGGGATTGATTGGCCAGCTTGACAGTAAAACAGATGAAAACCCACTTGATTCTTTATATACAGCTCCGCGCACTGTATGGCACTGAGGCAGGTTTACGAGCCCGTTTATAATGATGATCAAGCAGCATGCATGCAATTCCAATCAAAGTTATGAATGTCAAACTGAGTCGATCATTTTTTTTACTTATCAGGTAAAGCCAAGGAATTTTACTGAATGATTGACAACTCGTTCAATGCAATAACTTTACATCCGCTAGTCCAACCACCCAAAAACCACGAGCACAATCTCATGATTACCTGCTGCGAATTA